CTACTCAGGAGGCTGAGGCAGGAGAATTGCCTGAACCCAGGAGGCGGAGGTTGCGGTGAGCCGAGATTGCGCCATTGCACTCCAGCCTGGGTAACAAGAGCGAAACTCTGTCTCAAAAAAAAAAAAGAGATCGAGACCATCCAGGCCAACATTAGCTGGGTGTGATGGTGCAGGCCTGTAGGCCCAGCTACTTGGTAGGCTGAGGCAGGAGAGTTGCTTGAACCCTGGAGGTGGAGGAAGTTGCAGTGAGCGAAGATCGCACCACTGCCTTCCAGCCTGGTGACAGAGCGAGACTCTGTCTCAAAAAAAGGAAAAAAAAAGGTGTGGTAAGTTAGTATGGCAATGCCTCAGAAATTGGGGCAGATGAAAAGGGAGGTTCCCACAGTAAGAATCTTTCTTTTTTTTCTGTTCTAGTGGTCTTTTTATTGCCTCATCAGACTGAGATTTTGGGGAAACAACACAGCAGCAAACCAGGACACACACGCCTTTTAAAAACAGCTTGAAAATTAAAACATGAAGACCTCAATAATTATGAGAAGCAGTGTTTTTTTTTCTTCCCCTAGCTGGGCTTGGAGGCATCTGTAGGTTAGACCCCTCTGGGGCTGGAATGACATGAAGAGCAAGGTTGCCCAGGTTGGCCCGGGTAGCTGGGGGCAGCACAGGGGAGGAGCAGGTTCAACCCCAGCCCAGCCTGCTGAGTGAGCATTCATCCGAGCTCTGAGCTCCAGGCTGGACAGAAACTTCCTCAGCATCTTATGGCAGCTGTAATCCAGGGTGGTGGTGTAGACGGTCTTGGGGTACTTGGAGTAGACGATGGTGGTGCTGAGGAAGTGCGTGGCTTTGTGGCACAGCTCGAAGTGCCCCTCAGCCTTATAGTTGCGCCACGTGCAGCTGGAGATGTAGGTGACCGTCTGGCTGCAGGAGGTCATGGCCAGGCCCAGGGGCAGCTGCACGCTGTCAGTGCTGTGCTGCTGTGAGTTGGACTTGACCGAGGAGGTGTACCTTACTTCCTTTGGTGGTAAGGGGTCAAACCTACTCCTTTGCCAAAGGACGGGGGCACAGGCTCAGTGCACAGCCATACGTGACCAGGTAGGTGTGTTTCACCTAAGTGAGTTAGATGGAACAGCGCCACACTTTGAGTTTGTTTTTTTTTTTTTTTTTTTT